GCTAATTTTTGATTTATTGTAGAGATGAGGTCTCGCCAAGTTGCCCAGGTGGGTCTCGAACCCGTGGGCTCAGACAATCCACTCACCTCAGCCTCCCAAGGCGTGGGATTACAGGCTGAGCCACCAAGCGCGGCTTATCCTTTGTATTTTTAAACTTTTATACTGTTTTCATTTCCTGGTCTCTCTGGTGAGGATAGTGGTTTTTGTTTTTGGTTTTTTTGGTTTTCGATTCATTTACTCTTTCTTTTGCTGTTTTTAATATATTATTTAACCTATTCATTGATTTCTTTATTTTAATTATTAGATTTTTAAATTTTTTTCCAGATTTGCTGATTCATTTTATAATCTTTTTTGCTTGACCTTTTAATTTTCATCTGTTATTTCTTTATATGTTTTGCTTATGGTTTTATTATATTCTGTAGCTAGAGTCTTTCAGGATATAAGTGTGTGTTAATTTAATCAGCTAATTCTCAGTCATGGCTTTTTATTTTCTATTATGTGTTTGGCAATCTTTGGTAAGCTCATATTTGGTCTAATTTCATCTGTAGACTGCTGAGGGTCTAAATTGGAATGGTTTAGGCTATATACAAACAAACTGGATCCACTGTATTTGTCAGTTCAGGCTGCCATAGCAAAATATCATAGACTGGGTGGCTTAAGCGACATAAGTAAACTTCTCACAGTTCTGGAAACTGGAAATCTAAGATCAGAGTGCCAGCATGCTTAGGTTCTGGTGAGGGCCCTCTTCTTGGCTTTCAGATGGTGGCTTCACTGTGACCTCACAATGTAAGAAGAGAAGGAGCTCCAGTCTCTCCTCTTATTATAAGGGCACTCATCCCATTATGGTATCCCCATGCTCATGACATCATCTAAACTTAATTATCTCCCAGAGGCCCCACCTCCAAGCACCATCATATTGGTAACTAGGGCTTCAATGTGTGGAAAGGGTGGCATACGCATTCAGTCTGGATCATTCACTTTTGTTCTTTTGATAGTTTTTGACTCCTTCTATTTGTGTGGCACCCAGGGAAACCCTAACCCTTTGCATCCCTTAAAACTCGTCTTTTAAATTTTAGTACATTATTTTCTCACTCTTTCTTTTGATCTCTGTGGTCTTCAGAGATGTCTTTTATTTTCTCATGAACTGAAAATACAGTGTTCTATATTTCAAACTATCTTTTGAAGGCAAAAACATTTCAAAAGAATATTTGGACATCCATATTCTATATATTTTGGATTTAGTTGAGTTCATTCACATAAATGGCACTCTCAATATATTAAAACTTATGAAAATATGGTTTATACTTATAGTTGACTAAATATAAGTTTATGGCACTTACAAATAAATAATACTGCTTTATTCTACTTGTAATTATTCCAATGTGATTTTAGTTTCTCCTGGCACATGGTTTAAAGCAAGTGAGAAGCATATAAAACTTACATGAGAGGATTTTTGGGCCACAGGCAGAAATATACCACAGTAATTCTTATCCTATGCCAAGACTTTGGGTCATAATAGCATGCTACCCCATTGGAAAGATAGATTTGAGAAAGAGGCATGTTTACATAATTTTTAAAAAATTTTCTTGTTTGTTTGTATATTTAGATAAATGCTTTGTTTCATTTTTAATATTAAAGACTGAAATTCTGACTGGCAAACATATGTACAAATAAACGAGTGTTGCAAAGCAAAAAGCAATTTGTATTGTCTATTGGTGAAGGGGCTACCTGCCATATAGTAATTTTTCAGCTAGACTAATTTGAAAAATGAAAGAGATATCCTTTTTAAACTGTAATGAGAATGTCATCACTCTATGATCCACCTTCTCTGAAGCACCTTCAAGCTCTCCTTCTCTACTGGGGGCTGTTTCTCCTCTGAAGATAAAAAATTTATTTCCTACTTAGCAGAAAAATATCCAAACCTATAAACAAGCAAACAAAATACTTTTCTTGATCCTACCATTCTCTCTGTTAGAGGTCCCAGGCACTTTTTCGTATTCATTTAGAGCTTAACTTCATTCATTAATTCATTTACCTATTCATTCTAAAGCATTTACTGGACATTTCAGTTGGTCAATCATAATGTGTGATGCTGCAGAAACAGACGAAGCACACAGTTCTCCATCATAAAACAGTCTGTCAGAGGAGGACAAATAAGTAGTTCATTACAATTCAGTGAGAGAAAGTTACTAAGGGAACACACAAAAAGGGCAGTGAAGATGGGTGTGAAGATGATAATAGTAAAATGTTTTTGCAGCTGATCTTTCATAACAAAACACAACTAGATGTTTCTGCTCACGGTATTGACACCTACTGGTTTCTTTAACTAGCTTTCGGGGCTACTACTTAAAAGCCACTGCTTTTTTTAACAACTGCTAATTACCCAAATGGAAAATCCAATGACTCATCCTCAGCCACCCAGCACTTAAAAATCTCTTTCCTCTCTCATGATCTAGCTCAAAGCCATCTCATTCCTGTTTCACGTCTTCTTTCACCCAAACTACACTCCTGGAGTATTTAATTAATACAAACATAAGCAATACTGACTTACTGTTTCATATTGTATTACATTTTTGAAATCAATTTATCTCATATTTACATTTTATTGTTCCGAGAGCATATCATCTATAGAGCCTAATACATAACCCTGAACCAAACACACTAATTTAGTGAATTAATCCAGAAGAATCTGGAAGAATTAAGCTAGAAATTGCTCAGCAGCAGTTTCTCCTTTCAGCTTGAACTACTAAGTAATTCAAGTTAGAAATTGTGTAGACCTAAATAAGATAATAAGATTTAGTCATGACGATATGCCACTAAAAATACACACACACACACACACACACATTAAAAAATGCAGCCATTCATTAAAATTAATCATATATTAATTTTTAACAAATTATCTTTCATGTTTTTTGCAAATAGTGGCAACAAACTGGCTACTTCAAGTGGTGACACTGCAGTTAAATTATGGGATCTATGTAAAGGTGATTGCATTTTGACCCTCGAGGGACACAGCCATGCAGTGTGGTCCTGCACGTGGCACTCCTGCGGCAATTTTGTGGCTTCTTCCTCACTGGACATGACTAGTAAAATCTGGGATGTTAATAGGTAAGAAGTACTTTAATATCACTAATCCTCTATATTGCTACACATACATGGGTCAAGTTTTTATTTTTTATTTTTCTCCATGCTACCACTGGGAAACATTAAAGAAACCTTTAGTTGATAAGATTATCAAGATCTACTTAAATAATCTTCGTAAAATCCATTTTTAACTCCATTAATCTTTGTTGATATAATAATTTCATTCTAAATTTAAGCGTCAAGATCAAACCTCTGTAATAAGATTAGAATTGCTTCATTGGGAAGCTGTTTTAAACAGGATACAAACAATATACTTATTTTAAAGAGTTCAATTTTTAGTTGTGCTTCCCTTAGGCTTATGATCTCTTTATACAGTTGAATTCAAAAGTTTAATAAGCAAAATATAATGAAAATAATTATTTGCTTCATGCTTACTTTTAATACATTGTAATGTTTTCCTTGATTAAATACATCTTGGCAATTTACAATTTATAAGAAATAGTGGATTTATTGTATGGCAAGTCCTACACAACATCATATTGATGTGGAAGTTTTATGTTCTGATCTTAATTCAAAACATACATACTAATTATGCTTATAGTATCAAAATTCTTGTTATCTATGTATTTTTAAGTGTTCATTATGTCCTGTTAGGTGTACAAATATGATACAAAGAAGTAAATTTAGCTACTATCAAATATGCCAATTGCTTTAGCTAAGATATTTACAAATCATCCATAAGACTTCTGATCACTTTCGTCATTTAAACAATGCCCAGATCCTGAAATAAGTGATAATGATTCCTGAAAATGTAGGAAAATGATTGTCACAGGTCCACTGTAATTTATTTTTTAAGAGAAAAATAAACTCACTCTAAAGGTGAGGACTATTGATTTAGGGTTATGTGTAAAATGGTTACCTTGAGCACTTTCCTCCACTATTTTTTGAATCACGAGTAATATATTTAGACCTATTTCCTATTAAGAAGAGAGGATAAGCAGCTGCTTGCAGAATGTCAACAAGTTTTGTGGGAGGGTTTGGCGAAAGGGTGTGCTAAGTTCTATGTATAAGCTGATTGCTTCCTAAGGCCATGTGCCAACTGTTGAACTCCTTTCTCTCAATCTCTCCCTTTCTTTGCTTTGCTACTGTCATACTGGGCCTGGTACTCTGCAAACTGTTTTTTTTTTTTTTTTTTTTTTGCCTGCTGATTTTGCCAATAGGGGTTACTTGTAAGAGACTCTGAGTCTGGAAGGGAGGAAAGGGTTTTGTTTCTTCCTGTCTCTTTCGTATGTGCTTCCTGCAGACTTAGAGTTCTACCAGGATCACCCCAGTTATCCTGCACCTCAGCAGCAGCAATTTGTTCTCATCACAGCAGTAGAATCCAGTTGACCATTTCTTCCAACACTTGCAGAAACCACCTTATTATATTATCAACAGAGACATTAGTCCCAGCAAATAAGTGCCTTCTTCCCAGTAGCCTGTGCTCTCAGCTCTGCAAGTCCGTGATCTTTGGTAGCTTCTTCCTGAGGTTGTTTCCTCCATGACACATTAGTGTTCTCCTTTTTGCCTCTTTGGTTACTTGATTAACAACTTTATATATAGTTAATACTGTATATTAAATTCTTATGATTTAAATGATAGAAGCCAGTTCTATTTTCTGCCTGGCTTTTGTCAGTTCCAGGGTGTCCAGATAAGTAATAATATAATCCACTTGAGTTATAAAACTATAGCTAAAGAAAATTAACCATGCTCTGTATAAGAAAGCCTGACTGGGAATAATACATTTTTGAACTATTTCTATTTTAAATCGTAACTTTAAGATAGGCTTAATTCTCAGATGACTAGTATTTGTTTATCTGGAATATTCATTTATATGTAATTCTTAATTTTATTGTGTTTTACAAATATTTATTGTAACACGTTACTGCAATTTTAGCACTAGTGTCTAGCTTGAATTTTTATCACTTTTGACTCGGTTGAGGATCCTAATAGAAAACTGTGGTCCATACTAGAATATAGTGTACCTTCAAATCTCTTAACCATTCAATGTTTAAACCAAACTATAGTTAGTATTTTAGATTTGGAATCTAAACTGCTTAGAATGATTTCAAACACTTTGACTTGACAACTTTTCTCCATAACTCTGATATCCAAATACTGTCTTCCCAATGTTTCCCAGTGGATATTGACATAACAGATAAAAATTGCTCCTGATTGGTGTCAAAATCCTTTAAATTTCAAGTTTCCTATCAGTGTCAAGAGCTCACCTTCATCATCAAGGGCAAAAAAAATTACACTAATTTTGAAGTTGACATAGTGGACAGATATTGACAAATAAGGTAGAAATTGAGTGTTTCTATAGCAACTATTGATATGTCTTTCAAGGTCATAATAAAAATACCATGCTCTAATTTGTAATTACGCATGAATCAATACTATATAGATATGTCTAAAACTAGTATCTTGCTTTAAAATTTCATAGGTCATTGGAAATGGCTTAGTGACATAAGGCGAGAGGTTATTTTCCTTGGTAAGATGGGTGGTGGTTGGAAGTTGTGTTGTGCTAAGTTCTCTTAGCTTGATGCTACATAGTTCTTAACAAAACAAGAACTTGTATTGGTAGACACTATTATTATTAACCAGGGAAGGATTTAGAATATATTTTTCTTTTTACCTTCCTTTTGAGCTTCTGGCTCAATCTTTAATATCCTTTAATTGATGTTATAATCCTAGCCCTGTAACAGTTCCTGAATTGGACAATACTTGGCAAAGCCATCCATTTAGCTCCTTACCAAAAAATTGGAGCACTGTGAAGCATAATCAATGTAAAATTTTAAATCAAGATTTATATTTACTAAGTTCTAACCAGAATCTATAAACAATTATCTGTGATACTCTTGGTCTGGGTAAATCCACACTGTACAAAGTTTCTGTGAATAATTAACAATTGCATTCTGATAATCTTCTGAGTGGTCATATATAAAGCAGAAATCTTTATATTTTCAGTTATTGATCACTGATTTTTAGCTCAGTTTTCAATTTTCAGATATGTTCTTTAAAACTCAGTCCTAAAGCACGCATGCACACTTAAACACATACTCCGACATAACTCATGCAGGGAGTGGTTGGCACATGATGGCATACTTGCATAAATGAATGAACAGTGATTCAACAAGTATACATAAAAAATGTGTTTGAAGTGTTCTCCCAGCTCCATCTGCATTCAAACTGTAATATAATTATGCTGTTTTATCCTATATAAATCTATAAAATGATGAAAATTGAATAGAATAATCAGAAAAGACATCAGTCACCTATAAAAAACAACTTGTGCTTCTTTAGAGGCATTTGCTCATAACATTAATCAGTTAAGTTTTTGTGAAATGGCTTAGCAGTGTTGGGCTATGCTAGACATAAGAAAATTTTCAGATTCAACTGCTGCCCTCAATGATAGTACAAATAATTTAAAAATACAATTTTAAAGCAATTAGAGACTATGCATCTGGTGTTTACAATGTCAGATCCAGTATTCTAATTGACTCCTGGCTTCTTTTCTTCCATAGCAGCTGAGTATTTGGCTGAGCAGTTATATCACATTGTCACTCTGATATTTTGGAAGGCAAGACCATGTACCTGCTTAGCTTGTAACATTAAAGAGGAGTTGGAAACACCCAAAATGTTACAGAGTGTAGCTGCACCAGCAGCTTTAACAAGGTGTTACACAGGCAGAAATTGAGTGGCTTGTAATAAGGATGGAAGGAAACAGAGAAACTTGTAACATTCAACAGCTTCTGGACCCCAAATGGTGGGAGATAAATCTGCTTTCCTTATATCTAGCTGTATAATTTCAGATACCCTTGAGGTTACATGGAGAAAAAAAGTAAAGCAAGTTTGAGAACTATGTTTACTTTGATTTGTGAGTACTGTTGCATTGCTTTACATGGAAACAAATATAGCAGAAACTTACTAACTTTTTGAAAGAAGTGAATTGACAAGGGAACCATGAGCCTATTCTGATGAACCCTCCGACTCTTCAAACAGTACAACAGTCCTCAAGTCCCCAACCTGTCTTCCAAAGGAAGTGGACTTCTGTTGTTTCACAGTTCACAAGGAAAGCATAGACCACAGCATCAACCTCAGATATGACCACAGAGGATATAGAGGATAATGGAAAGGAAAGAACTTGCCATAGAAGCCAAAAACAAAACAGAAAAACAATGAGCAAAGGAGCGCCTCTTGGAGAGAGATCTATAGTATGATCAAGAAACTTTCTTCGATGCTATGGCAACTTTCCTCATGATGCCTGCCTAGGATTCTATCACTCTTTGGGCTAGTGATGCTTGAATATTACCAATTTTTCTATTTTGTGTATTGCAGTTTATATTGCAGTTATCCTTGTCCTTGTTTTACCATTGTACATTGTGTTTGTGGTAGTGGTTGGGACGGGGAGCAGAAAAGTTATCTTTTATTTAGTTGGTCACCAGTACACAAGTGACATCTCTGAACCCAATGGAGCAGATTTGTGCATCATCAAGAGATTATGAGCAGTGAAACGTTCAGTAACTAAATGAGACTTTGGGTTGTTTTATTTTTTTGAATGTAAAGGGGAGAAGGTCAGGGAATACTCTATACATAGAAGGAAGGATAGCACAGATGTTTGGTAGGCAAAGGGTCAAATTGTGGTGGAGTCTGCTGGCTTGAGTCTGCTTTCTCCTTCTTTCATATTAATTGGGCACCTGGCTATCTAAATGGTATTTCTCAGCTTCTATTAGTTAAATATTGCTCTGTTACTATGTCTTACACAAGAGACTATTAGTAGAAGTGATAGGTGCCATTTCCATATTCTTCCCGCTTATGGTAGCATAGGATATCAATGACAATGACCGCAGTAATCTTAGAAGCCAATTATTGAAAATGACAGAGCAGTTGTCAACTTGCTTGAAGTAAAACCACCCTTGTTTTCAACCTCCACTTAGCCTGCAACATTATCTAGACTCTCCAGCAATAAGAAAGTACACTTTGTT